GAGAAAGAAGCAGGCTGATCCGATTGCAGCTTTCGTTATATAACCCCCCACCCCACCCCGATGACGATATGACGAAAGATGTGACATATTTTATATGTATTTTTCAATATATGTGTAATATTGTAGACGTATATGTAATGAAATACAAATATTTCTGCGTAGATGTGGAAGGTGTTGATCCATAATTAGCAGGAAACTTGACACCCAAGGCAGATTAGAGGGCCAAGTTAATTATGATTAAATATTCATTTTTATTTCAATTGACATGTGCGGCCACAATTCATTTGGCACTCAAGTCGTGTCTGTTTCACACATTTTAAATCTTTGATACCTTTGGAGTGCAAAGAGCAGCAGCAAGCAGCACTCTATTTAAGACGAGGTGCAGAAAGCAAGTAGCAATACTGAGGCTTATTAAGAGAAAGGCGTTCCGAATCAGTTATGCCATCATCGTTATGTAAACGTCATATGACAGGAATGATCTAGAAATGACGCAGTTCAGAAAATGTTTTATTATTTTTAGAATAGAAAAGGGAAATACCAAAATTAAAATGAGGAATTAAGGGGCTATTGTTAATTTAAATTATAATTTTTATTTACATATTTTTAATTCACGTATATAAATGCAATATTAAAAAAATAGAAATTTAGCTAAAAATAGGAAAGTAAGCATTGTTTTCATGTTACGTAATACTAAAAAAATATAGATACTAATATGTTTTATATACATGTTATTCACGTTTAAGCGGGATCAAATTTTTTACATGCATTTTAGAAAATGCTGTATGAAGAATATTTAGTCAAAGTGTTAACATAGGAATACTATAATACCCTGACTTATGCTACTTCTAGTAACACGAACTTGACGTAATGCGATTCCTTATTTGTCCATTCTTTCTCAAAGCGAGACGGATACAAAACCAGATACACTGATCAGGTCGCTCATGTAATGCAACAAGTTGCCAGTTTTGCCAAGTGGCTAATTTTAGAAGGTAATAGTGATGACATCAGCGACGTAATAGATATGTATAGCAAAGAGCTGCAGCCGATAAACTTAGAGAAAATCCAAGCATATGGCTACTTAAGCCGAAACCTGAAACCTGAATTCCGTTATGGGATTTGCAAGCTTGGCAGAAGGTCTCGGCGCAAATTTGAAAGAGTTAGAAATTTTGAACAACGAAGACTCAACGAGGAATGCATCAGATACCCGAACTTCGAGGTATTATTGTATATAGAAACTGATACTATGGAGTTACGTGGTTAAGAATAGGCAAAATGGCTCTCCAAAGTATTGGAGCACTTTCGACTCTGTTGTAAAAAAAGCAAAATTAATAGATAATATTAAAAATTTGTGAAATTATCTCTAATATGTTCCCTAGAGAATTATGTATGAAATTATTGAAAATAATAGCTTAACAATTAAAAAAATAGATTTAACCACTAATGCAAAAAGATGTTCACGGAAGTCTTTCGAACCGTTTCTGTCCAGTAAAATTAAGGTTGTGCAATTCTGTAAATATAAAAATGCAATTTTGAATTTTGTAAAAAACAAAAATGCAATTAAATGTGCATTTTTACATAGAAACAATAGATAATAGTTTAAATATCGTCTGATGTTGTGTTTAAAGTTTATTATGCAATAAATTCCACTGCCTTGCACTCATAATTATTATATCCTGTCACGTATATAATGACATGGCACGGTGTAATATCAAGAAAGGAATGGGGCGTATATAAACGTTAACTTATTTTTCATTTAAGATCTCTCTCTGTTATTCCACATAAACTAATTTAGATCCTACAATGAACCTGGAGAATTCTCTGACAGGCGTGAATAAATTACCAGCACAGAAGAAGGGTGAAAAATAACCCTTTACATAGTGATTAACAGAAAGGCATGATCTTTGTGCTTTACAATGGCACCGACAACTTGCAGTGAAACTGAAACTTAAAGTATAATTCAGGTCAAAATCTAAAATAAAATAGTGCTGGATTAGCACATTAAGTTACGCCTAACAGGTTGACATACAAGAACCTAACAGGCGTGACGATAATCCGAAGTGGCCAAAAGGCTTACTAGCGTAACAGCGAAGCAACAGCGAAACGTGCGGCTAGCATAAACACGCTCTGAATAAACTCAGGGATTCACCCATTTAAATAATCACTTCACTTAACTTTAAATTCAAATTTACATCCTGGGAGAAAATACGAGGGGAAGTTGAGGAGTTCAGGAAAGGTGTCAAACTTAAAATAAATTTTTTATGCAAAGTAAGGGAAACCCTACAGATTTAAAAAGAAGAACTCTGTTGAGAAAATATCAAAAACTTGAATGTCACATTTCACGTTATAGAGTCTTCGTGTTCTCCTAGATACCATAAACTGACAACTCTAATTTGAAGACTAAGTAGCAAATTATTCTCGCTATTGTTCTTATAAAATAAACTTCAGAAAAGGTTTAAATAACTTTTTATTTTAAACTAAAAGGAACCTATGCACGCACTTCGTGCTCACAAATCACCGCCACTTTTGGCCACGTAAATTAACAGAAAATGAGAATGTAACAAATCACTAGTTAAATTAAGATATCTAATGACTGGCTCCTTAGCTTAAACTAACACTAAATCGACTACACTCGACAAATTCGAGCCGAGGAATATCAATATAAAATGATAGGTGTCCAACACCGGCTAGAGAGCTAACTTCAAACACGCAGCATAAACTCAGAACTAAGTCCGCTACTACTCTTTTCGAACTCTTGACCGCAGCTTAAATACTGCTTCTAAAAAACGTTTAAACTTAAATACTACGTCATAAAAAATTTACATTCCGGCAGGAAACTGAAATCAGAAGGAACAGGAATGTCAAACTAAAAATATTTTATTAGAATAGAACAAATCCTTACAGCATATAATTTTGAAAGGACGAGAGCAAATGTATTTAAAATTTAATTAAATCTCTATAGACAATTATATTTATAAATATAGTAGAAGGTGTTCAGAGATCTTCAATTCTGATGTATAGTATCATTTTAAAGCGGAGTCGAAGGGGATGTGGGATTCACTGTTTTCAGAACTTTTTCTGTGGATTTCAGTTAAATAAAACTGGAGAAACTGGGATCGAAAATGTGGTTTTTAATGCTGAAAACTAAGTACGCAAAAATAATCCTTTTGCCATTAATCATTATTCAGTTTTAATCTCTGTTATTGAAAATTAAGAATTTATAGTGTAGTAACGTTACATTGTGGAAAGATAGTGGCATCTAGAGCCTAAAGATTTAAGCCTACTTAGTCCTGCGCCCAAGCATTTGCATTAGGAAATCCGATCGAGTTTTTTTTAATTTACGGTATATTTTGTTCGAATTTAACGAATTTTACTACATAATAATTTAAATTTAAAAATAATTCATGAAATCACAACATACAATATTTTCGAACGCACAGTGTTATAATAATATACGTTTATTTTAATGACCTTGAGCCTAAGAGAATCAGATTTGAGAACTGTCTAAAATGAAACTTGGATGTACCCAAATGATATGAAATAAAATAAAATAAAATAAAAACTGATTTTCAGTAAAGTTTCTTGCGAAATTTTCTAATGAGTAAAACAGAGGCTTCCTTTAAATCCGTTTACCCGTCCTTTTGGTTATTTGAGATAATTTATTAACAATATTTTAGTATTTCAAATATTAACGATATGTTCTTTATTTCTTATTGCATAAAACTAGCTTATTATACAACGCTTAAATATGGAGGGTGAAATGTGGATCGATGTTTCTTCGGTTTTTTCTTTCAGGTCTTCTTAACTATATTCAAATTATTTCTGGTATGTTGTTCTATTTTCCAGCATAAATTATAGTGCTATTGCTAGTTCAAATATCGGTTGTTTTCTTTTTTTTCCATTTTCATTTTTATTGAGAAAGGCGTTCGATGATAAGGAGAAACAATAGTCATTTTGTAGCAATCATCGTACATATAAAATGTTTCATAATGTTTGGAAATTCCCCGGCATGCATGGCATGTTTTTGTTTGAAGAAGAATTTGTGTTCTCATTCAGTTCTGCATTTATCAGTTCTTTTATCTATTATCAATCCGATTAATTCAGTATTTTTTAAAATTTTATTTTGAGAACGAAGAGATGAACATATCTTAGATGTCATTCACCGGAGTGTATAAAGAAAGAAATTTTTAAAAAATTAGCATTTCTGTAATTTTCAATACGTGCGCAATGTTTTTTAAAGATCTTGTTATATATCCGTAGTAAAATTCTTTCCTTCCTTCTACCTAGGAATCGAAGCCTGACTAGTCTTCTTCAATAAACATTGAGAAATTAGCTTAACAATAATATCGTAAAATATATAATAGACAGGGCTAACTAAACATAATGAATGCTAAAGAATTTCCATGCAAATTATTAAACTGGCTTCAGGTAATTTACATTAAATAGATAAAAGATAAATGCAGTTTTAAGTAGGACTCCAAATATCCAAAACTCCAAAATAGATGTTTTTGATGTCCTTTAACGAATCTTTTTAAACAGTTTAACTTTATTGACATAAAATTCAATAAACGAAAAAGTACACTTGAATTGCGATGCTTACTTATTTGTCTTACAGTAAAAGCAATCCAGTTATCCTTATCCAGTTTGCTAATATTCGAATAGGCTATGACTCAATTAATGCGGATATTTGAAGTGTTATTGCTCAAGGAATTTTTAGCTATCTATATATGAGCATATAACTACTTTCTTTATTTTCTTACTCTACAACATATGAATTTGTAAAATATTACTTTGCCTTTTTTCCTCTGCTGAAGGCTGTTTCAGAGATCATTCAACCACTAAATGCGCCCTTGTTTGGAATTTTGATGGGAACACAATCAACAACGACCTCGTCAAAATTCAGGGTCATTATAGGCATTTGCTCGTTTAAAAGTAATTACAGAATCTCTTTCAAATCGTGGATTTTGGTATAAATAAAGCTCCGATCGTTAGTTGAATCAACTTATAGTTCAGTTTGCTCTGTCGTGAGTACGATCAAGTCTGAATTGTGACAACCATGAGCCGCCACGTTATAACTGCCCTTTTTGTTGCCGTTGCTTTTGCTAACTTAGTTTACAGTGCCCTTGTAGAAAATACTCATCTGGTTACTATGAGAAAAGCTGAGTTTATGGAAATCGTCGACTGCATTTCAAACTGTGAGTATATGTAAATACCCTGAGATAAAATAGTATGTAATATTAAAAAAAATATTTTATTTTTCTTTCGTTTAATGTAACTGGAGTGTTTTCTAGAAATGCTATTGTTAGATCAGTGAGTATGTCCAATTTGGGTTAAAGTAAAAATAATTCTGCATTTTACTGTATTTTTAACCATTTCAAATTAAAAACGCCCAATTTTGTATTATTTATTGCAATCATTTATCGGAGCTTATAAAATGGTTTTCATCTTTGAGATGTAGTGATTTTGATTAATGAGAATTAGGTATCTACCAGATTCCTAAACAACATTTTTCGCTTACAAGTTTTACCGTACCTAAGTATATCCATTCCATCAAAGCATTCTTTAATCTAGTTTTCTTTTACAAGTTTATAAAACTTCATAGAAATTATGTTGTATCTATTGATGCTGTAATTTTATTTCACGTCAAATAAAAAAAAAAAAAAAAAAAAAAAAAAAAAAACACAATGATTCTAAACAGTGTTCAGAAAAACTTGCAACAATGATGGACACTGAATTTGAATGATCTTATATATGTTTAAAATAGCAAATTGTTTCTAAAACTATGGTGTGTAATTTAAGCATTAGATTTCCATCAAAGAGAATTAGGATTTTTTATAAGTACCGTAAAAGGGGTATGATTGGCAGTTTTTTAGGAAATTAGAAATGGTATGTAGGCATTAACTACTTGAAATCATTCAATTAACTGTGCATTTTGCATAATTGTAAAGCATGTAAACTTCTATTAACTGGATTTTATAAAATGCACAAAAATGAGACATCTATTATGTCTACTGTTTGGCAGGTATTTTAACAGATATCCTGGAATTACCTTTCGTAGATTATTTGAAAATTACGTAGCACATTATGTCTTCTATAATAATAGCACGAAAGATTACATTCGTGTCTGATATTTAAAAGTATAACTATAACAAAATAAAAGGATAACTCTTTGAAATTGTATTTACTATTAAAATATTATTAAGAAAATAACGGTATATTTTAATGCATTTCAATGGATAAAAATTTTAAGTTATTGAGATATGTGCTTCTTTCTTTTTTGCCACTTAAGTAATTTTTTACAGTACGCTGTTGTTATGAAACAGTTAGTTCTCTAAAGTAGTTTTTATAATCAAGAGTCATTTAAACTGAATAAAAATATGCTTAAATATGCTTAATAATCTTTAAATCTATGGATTTCTAAATATAAATACATAATAATTGTATTTATATAACCTTTTTGTCTTTATATGCCTGTGTATATAACTTTTTTGTATTTAGTGCAATCATTTTCATGACTAAATACAAAAAAGATTATTTCATTATAATATAGGAATTAAATTAATTTTTATCGAAATTGCATACTATAGAGGGAAGAGAAAAGAGCCTTGTTGCAGATATGTTATTATTGTGTAATTTTATTTATTTGCTTCATTATCAAAATTATTCTTATTATGACGCACAATATTCACTCGCAACACAACTTCAGTTTTATAATTTTTAATTAAAATAATTAACCATAAGACTATTATCTTATGCAGAAACATCTTTGCATTCTCCTAAAATTTGTGATTTACGATTTCAACAGAAAATTAACTTTATATATTTTTGTTTAAAATAATTTGTTAAAATATTTGTCCGAAAACACTTTACTTAGTTTGACTGTTATTTACTTAACTGTAGCTAAAGACGTGGTTGCATGTGGGAAATTTGTCGAATGTGAAAAGATGATGCCGAAACAAGTAAGTACATTTTTTCTGTAATCGAGTAACAAGTAAGTACATTTTCTGTATAACTGAATTTAAAATTTCTCGTATAAATTTTAATGAGAAGTAACTTCTTAACTTAATACTTCTTTAAAAGCCTGCAGTCTTAAGTCTTTTAATGGAAAAGATTTATCATGCTTTAATTAGAGATTCGGAGAACATAAATTCAAATCATTGAGTTTAATATCAGAAATTTTAATCATTCCTACTTTTATACCAAACATTTCATTAAACTAATTAATCTGACTCGAAATGCATTCTCCGAATTTCCAATTAATATAAGAACCACCGTTTCAAATGTAATGTGGAACGAAGAAGCCAAGCTAAATAAATAATTCTAATGGATCTTTTTTTACTCTACCACTTAAGCCTTTCCATATTTATCTGGTACTGAATTATTCTCCAGCTCTTTTAACGAAAGTCAATAAAATTTATTTTATTTCTTAAGTCCAAATGCATTAATGTTAAGATCCTAGTTTCTGAAAACAGTTACTTTAATATTTCCTTTCTTTAAATAGCAGAATTGTCTCTGTACTTTAAAGTTTTCAACGAACAATATATATATATTTTACGGTAACTAAATACCTAAGCAAATATAAGCAATACATTTAACTCCCTTTTCGTACATTCTCATAAATCAGGTAACTTCTTGGAAATGAAAAGAAAATTGAAACATATATCTTTAACAGGTTAAAAGAATAATGTTATTTGGAACTGCCCAAAACTGTTTATATGAAGGAGAAATTAAAAAAAAAAAAAAAGAATTAAAATAGTAAAAATTCCCTGATGTCATTATAAGCACTGTTAGTAAATTTCGCAATATTTATGGATCTCTTGTTAAAAATTTAATTTAGAAATTAAACTTAAGAAATTAATTTGCTTCCTAGAAAATCAAACATAGTACATGCATTCAATGTTACAGAAGTTTCGGAAGTATTCTTTAAGAGAGTTGTTGAAATGTCTCGAAGTATCTTTTTTTCACAGAAGTATTACTTACGCATAGTTATGAAAATGAAAAACAGAAGTATGATTTTTTTTAGGTTTTGGCTGCTTTTGAGAAGTGCCAGAAAGAATGCATTGCTGGCGGTGCACTGAAGTGCAGTCCTCATGAACCACTGTATAAGTCTCTTGAGATTCCAGAGAAGGTAAATTAAATAATTAATCTTTTTAATAATCTGTAGTGAAATTGTTTAATATTAGATGATAAAATAAATTATAATAAACCTATTCCTAACTAATATACTTTATGTATATAAATTTTGCTGAGGTAAAATAGAAATGTTAGCAACTATTTTTAATGATTTTTAAATTTCGTTTGTATCTATGTCAGCAATTAAAGCTTCATTTCGATATTTAGTCTTTGCAGATTTTCTGTTGCGGTGTGTTTGCAGTTTAAACAGTATGGAATAATTTAAAAACGAAACTAGAAATGTAAAAACGTGGCTGTCATTAAATTATTTTTTATTGGAACAATATTACGATTTTTTTCCTCTTCTTTCATTAAAGATGTTTCTGTGAAAGTTTTGACATCAGCATACAGGAAAGATTTAACTCATTCATGTTACTTTTAGAATATCTATGAGTATACTTTACTTCCAAAGAGTGGTTTAATTCAAAAGTTTATTCATATAGTTTTACCTTTAATTTTGTCCTTAGGTTTAATAAGTTAGATAATTTTTTTATTATTCATTTAGTATGCTAAAAATTTGATCGTATATAACATTTCGTTGCTGTTTGTTTCCAAAAAAAGTCCGCAAAACTTAAACCATTAAAGCTTAAGCTAGATTTTGCAAATTAAAGATTTTCTGCAGCCTATATTACATACGTGTTTAAAAGATTTAGTAAGATTCATGGATATGTGAATAACAGCTACTATTTAAATATTTTTAACATCTTGCAAAAGGACTTTATTTAGGTTTAAAACAAAAAAGAATTTGAATTTATAGCACATCATAATAAATATAAGAATTGAACAATTTCTATGCAGGCATTTCCAGACTTTAAAGTTTTGCGAATAATTCCTTTCTTTTTTAAAGCAGTTTTTACCATAGTGATATAAGCAAAATTAAAATGCTATGTGAGAATTTTAATTTTACATTGAAAATTGCCTTTCATTTCACAGCTTATAAGTTTGCGGAAGAGTTTAATAGTTTAATAATTTGAGAATTATTCAACGTTTTTCATCTGAAACCACAAAGCAGTTGACGTTGTAGAAGTTTACTTAATCGCATTTCCCATCATGTACATTCAAATTAACAATGCGACCTTTTCCGTTTTATTAAAAATAGAGATTTAAAGTGAATGAAAATATATTATCCAATATATTTTCATTAGTGAAAATAGTTTTTGGATTTTAAAATAGTGAGCGCATCCGTTAAAGAAATGTAAACAACTGACGCTAATGAAAATTGAAGGTACTGTACAGTATTTCTATTGACTAACCAATTTTCGAAAGTATGTAAAATGTTTACTATTTTATGGATTAAAATATCTAAAATTTGCACATAAACGTTTAAATCATACGTTACTTGCGTTAAAGTTTAGTTTTATTTATATTTTGGAAAGTCTAAATAATGATTCAGTATATTAAATTAATCATACATCATATGAAATAAATATTTGTTTCTTTTCCCATTAGGTATTTGAATGCATTGTTGAAAACACTCACAAGGTAAGTACTTTTTCTTTTATCAATAAATTTTGACATTAAGACATTCATCGTTAGAAATACATTGTCGCCGATTTTAAGTTTTAATATACTTGGAATGCAGATTAATTTAACAGCAAAAAAATCGTTATTTTATTATATGCAAAAGGCACTTCAAAAATAAAAATGAAACACTAAACAGATATTGCAGATTCAAACGACATTAAAATTTTTCGAAACTTTCAACGTTATAGCCGATTTTTCAATTATTGCAATCTACAGCTATCTTCGATTACTGTAATGTCATTTAACTATTTGAAATGTATTTGGTATTATAGCCTTTATTTAAGTGTTTCGTTTAGATATTCGAATATCACCGAGGATTTATACAATTTAATAATTCTAGTAACGTACTGTCGAAATCTTTCTAATAACCAATCTAAAAATCTCTTAAACACTACACTGAAAATATCTTATAATATAGCTTCATTCCTTAAATGGATACTGTCTATGTTTTGCGCCAAATTACTATCTTGAGCAACTTTCTTCATTCACTTCGAAATTTCTTCCATCTTTAAAAATTTTACATCAAGCTATATTAAAGGTCAAAATCGTAAAAACAACCTTGTATTTAGCGTAAGTATATTGAAACACTCAATCGATTTCGAGGGCAGCTAAAGGTCCCTCCTCATCAGGAGAAAGAAATACCTAGAAAAAATAAAAATAAAGCGGAAGGAGTCTCAGAAATACGTGGTCCTTATCAGCACTGCACGTGGTTATAACCAGAATTTTAATCAGAGTTACACTGGCCGCCTACTTTTACTGAGCCAGGCTATCTGATCAAACATGTAATACGAAGGACAGGAAAATTAGCGAAGTTAAAAAAGGAGCGAGGCAACTGCACCTTCACGCTCAAAATCTGAACTTCGAAAAATGGAAAACAACCACTGAACGGATTTTTATACCCTCTGGTAGTACCAAACGCGAGGAGGTACCGCCATCTATCGGCAAAAATAGTAACTGAATTAAGATAGTAGAATTTTAAAAGCATTAGGAAGGACTGGATTAGACTGATAAGGACTGATAAGGTCGTGCTGATAAGGACCACGTGTTTCTGAGACTCCCTCCCTTTATTTTTCTTCTAGGTATTTCTAGATTTCTAGGTATTTCTTTCTTCTGATGAGGAGGGACCTTTAGCTGCCCTCGAAATCGATTGAGTGTTTCAATATACTTACGCTAAATACAAGGTTGTTTTTACGATTTTGATTGTCAAGTTAGCGTGTTTCTCTTCTAGTCTATATTAAAGGTATTTGTGCGTTATTTCAGTTGCACAGGCTTTTGCAATCTGGGCAGTTCAAAGACGTTTTTACGCAATTTCTTAAATGTGACCGAAAGTTTAAAACGAAAAATAAGAATGACATTTGAAATTTGTCTGAAAATAATACGCAATTTGGCTTTATACCAAAATGTTTAATTTTGAATTTAGAAACTTAGCTGATGCACATAGAATATTCCTAAAACAATAAAATAACTTTTAAAACTCATTCGCTATTCAGTTAGACTATGCGTATGATGCAAATTTATTTTCCACATGAATTCTTATTTTGATTATGACATGAACTATCAACATATGTTTTATTTAACCCAAAAAGATAAAATTAGACTATTTATTATGAATTTTTATTTTAGCTAACGCCAGAAGAAAATATGAAGATGGTAGAATTTGAAGTAAGTGTTTCTCTAATTTCTGATATAGCAGGATCTTAAATTTTGTTCATTATTTTTATTTTAAATTTTTAAGTGTTCGAAATTTCCTCACAACTCATGTCTTCAAATTGTGATTTCATTATAAATTTCAAAGAAAACGCATTTAAATTGTAAATTGGGCTCATGATTGGGTTTACAATGATTTAACCTCGGTTCACTATCACAGTGATATGCAGAATGAAATTCCAAATTATGCTCTTACTATTACTTATGTTCGTTTAACTGAAAAAGGATACCGAGAGAGAACGACCGTTTAAAGAGATATTTTTTTAGAAAATGCAAACTTCCATCACAAAACTTCATTTCATTCAGCACTTCTTAAAACAAACTGCAAAAGTTATCAGTAAATTTGATAGAGTCATTAGGTTGTTTAAAAGCGGGAGACATGAAAAGTGTTTAATATCCTCGCCGGAACTCAAACGTGGATCTCTCAAGTACACGCCGAGTATGCTACCGTTACACCACGAAGGCATGCGAAAAGGAGGTAGAAAATACCTTATAGATTTCCCCTTTTAAATGGCGACTGGGGATCATGGGACCCAATCACCAAATCGTAGTGGTGACTAATTATCGTCCACCACCTTTTAGTTCGGGAGCCATTTAGTCATTTGAATTATTGATGCAGGACCCGTGAAAAATGTATAGTGCCCTCACCGGGACTCGAAACCTGGACCTCTCGAATACTTAATACGCGTGTGTGCTACCGTTAGACTGCAAAGTCTTCAAAGGAGGAAGAAAATACCTTATAATGTTATTATTTATAGTATTTTAAGTTATATTTGTTTAATTTTACACTGAAATATTTTCTCCAATTTGTGCAGTTGGAATAATGAAGTGTAGATTTATTCAATTATTTTCTTATTTATGCAGTTATTCCTAAATAACAATATAAAAATACAATTTTTATTTACAGAAATGCAGCCGAGAACTTCATATTGAAACATGCAAGTTGCCTAAACATCATCACTGATTTGTTGGCTTGAGTTGAGTTCTCCAGACACTATGAACCTAAATTTGCCTGCATTGGATGCTCTTACTTATTTTATAATGATTCACTTGTACTTAAATTTTTTCTGCATTGCCTGAATATAAACACACTTTATAAGGTTTTTCTTTTGTACCATTCTTAATAAATATTAAATAACAAATGGCTGGAATTATTCTAATCTATACAAACATTGAAAATAATATCTGACAAAAATCGTTTTTGTATAACCATTTGTAAATGCAAAAGCAAGAAAAAAGTTAATAACATAGTTTTTTCGAAATATCGAAATACTAAGCTTCAAAATTTAGAATGGGAGACGTTGTAAAAAAATTTTTAAAAGGTCTATATAATCAGTTTCTAAGGAAATGTTTAATGAAAGCACTGAATTTCAAGCGATAAATTAAATATTCATTTCAAATAATGGATAATTGGAAGCCACTCAGAAACTATTCTTAGCAATGGTTTGATCAGTAGAAGAAACATAAAAATTCATTGAGGGTATAAAAGCGTACATTTAGCAGCCTCACTGTTAAAGTTTTCCATACTTCAATCTGAACAATTTTTTTAAGTATTAGTTTCATTCAACGATCTGTTGTGAAAAAAATATATCAAGACCATGAGTTATGCCGAGTAACAAATGGAAGAATATTTTAACTTATATAATCAAATTAAAACGTTTTCACTAGGGATTTTGAACGCATTCGGCATGAGTGCCTAAATCTACAATATTCTGACTATCAGTTTTTATTTACAAATCCAAACTTTAACACTTAACTTTTTAAAGGCATGACCGAAACCTCTAATTAATAAACAGTGAACTAGCAGACAGATAACGGAATCGAAAAACCGCAGCAACTGTTGCATCAGGTTCTTCTATTTACAATAAAATTAATGTAAAATTCCTTACCTGCTGCATCTTCAGTGTTCTCGACGCCAGGCTTCTAATAATCACGTTTTCCAGTAAGAGTTTCTATTACAATTAGCAGGCCATCTTGTCTTTTAATTATTTATTGAAATAAAAAGCTAATATACACTATTTACAAGGTAGGTGATAATTATTTTAAAACAGTACATTTTTAGTTCTGAGTCTTTACGCTCCTCAGAGCGGTTCCAATCTCGACTGCTTCTCGGAACTTAATTACAGCAAAAGTAAAGGAAGAGATGCCCGCCACCTAGTGGCAAGAATGTGACATCCTCCCACCTTTTGATTTTACCTCGATAAGATGGGAAATCAAAACAAAATTTATCAATAATCAAACAAAAATTCAAGTACAACTTTCACAAATATGAAAAGTAACTAATGCTCTAAAATTAATACTTACAAAGAAGGATTACACATCTAAACATTTTCTGCATTACATTCATACCATATCCAGATAACATGTTCCAATTGACAACTGTTAGGACAATTAAATTTCTAAAATACTGAAAAGAAACAAAAATTAATATAGCAATTTAAAAATATGTAAGAGGTTTTACAGTTTTACGTCCATATCTAGTTTGATAGTTCATATCACTGTAACACTTATCCGCAGAGTTTTTTTATGTTCATGGTGAAGTCACTAAACAAGTTAGGTCTATCAAGTTCGAGAGGATAAATACGTTTCACAGGTCTTAGGAGTTCACCCGTTGCAGTTTTCACTTTGACAACACGTACTTCGTTGTCTTTCCCAGGATATAGTTCTACAACACGACCTATTGGCCAATCTATTCTCTTCTTGTTGTCGCTGCCGACAAACACCAAGTCATTTTTGTTGATAGTCCGAGTAGATCGTTTAGATGGTTTTTTGCACTAGGATAGCTAAATATTCATCACGAAATCTTTTGCGGAAATGTTCTCTTAAGTTCTGCAAGAACTTGTATCTTTTTGTCAGATTAATGGTATCCAGGTAGTCTAAGTCAGGCACTCCGACGTCGTGCACATCTTGTAGAAACATTGAAGGAGTTAGTGCCGTAAGATCATTTGGATCTTCTGAAAGGTACGTAAGGGGTCTTGAGTTGATTACTGATTCGATATCACAAAGTATAGTCAACATTTCCTCATAAGAGACACAGGACTTGCCGAGAACATTTCTCAACATCTTCTTCACTGTTTGTACCAACCTCTCCCACCAACCGCCCCACCATGAAGCAGTTGGGGGATTAAACTTCCACTGTATTCTCATACTAGTTGAATTACATTCTATTTCTTTCCAATCTATCGATCTTAAAGATTTTCAGTTCCAACGAAATTAGTGCCATTGTCGCTGTAAATAATACTTGGACGACCTCTTCTGGCAATAAATCTCCTTAATCCCAAGATGAACGCATTTGTTGATAAACTTTCTATCAGTTCAAGATGTATCGCGCGATAGACCGCGCAAGTAAAGAGCAAGATCCATGCCTTTTTTTCCTTTTCGTAAATAAAGAGGACCGGCTACATCGACTCCGGTCACTTCAAACACCAGAGCATCTCGAACTCGATCTTCAGGAAGAGGTGCTGGAACAGTCTCTATATTCTTTGCGCTATATCTTCTACAGCGAACACACTTCATAAGAACTTTACGTACTGTTTTTCTTCCTCTCAGGACCCAGAATTTCTGTCGAATATTGGCTAGTACGAATTGCACACCAGCGTGGGATAGTCGCAAATGGTAATCTAAAATTAACCTATGAACTAAGTCATGATTTGAGGGCAATACAATTGGACAGAGAAAATTTTCTTCTTCCTCTCTTCTAGTAATCTTGGTCTTTAACCGAATAAGGCCATCTGAGTCAAAAAAGGTACAAAGGTTGCTAACTTTAAGTTCTTTGCCAAATGCTTCTATTTGTATTATCTTGCATATTTTCTTTTCTACAGTTTCTATTTCAGGGACCGTGAGTTCTCCTGATTGTTTAGAATCTGGTCTTCTGCAGTTTTTTGATAAATCTGCATATCCAAGCAGTTATTCTTAACATTTTATGGTAAGATGAATATTTCTCAAAAAAATGTTCTACCCTTTGCGTATTTAGTGCAGAAATGACTGATTTCCTTTTTTCTGAATTCACTATTTCCATGTCCGGTATTTCCCTTTGTCTAGGCCATTCTTCCTGATTTTTCTTCAGCCAGTCGGGGCCCTCCCACCATCTAACTACTAAAAGTTGTTTAGCGGTGCAACCTCTTGATGGGAGGTCAGCTGGATTTTTTGTTCCAGCAATATGTTTCCACGTTTTTGGATCCGTCAGTTTCCTAATCTCCCTGACTCTGTTTTCCACAAAGACAGCCCAGACAATCTCTTCCCTTTGAATCCATGTCAAAACTGTTGTAGAATCCGTCCAAAAATGCGTTTCCATATTTTGCCATTGTAAACCATTTAAAACAGAAGAGCATAGTCTGGCACCTATCGTGGCAGCTATCAATTCCAGACGAGGGATCGTAATAGATTTACGGGAGCTACTCTAGACTTCGATGCCAACAGATGAACTTCAACTCCAGAATTCGTCACAGTTCTCAAGAAAACTGCAGCAGCATACGCATTACTACTGGCATCACAGAATGTGTGAATGCTGCAGAACTTCCTATTGTCCTTGCTGGAATGTATCCAACGTAGGAGGGATATTTCTTTTAAGAGAAAAAGGCTTTTATACCAATTCACAAAATTTTGTTTTGTACTCTCGTCAACTTCAGTATCCCAAGAAATTCCTGTTTTCCATAGGTTCTGCAACAATATTTTAGGATACAAGAGAACAGGACTCACAATACCAATAGGATCAAATATTTTGTGTGTTACAGCGAGAATTGTTCTCTTCGTTATTATACCCATTTCAAAATCTTCTAGCCAATTCAGATTCAAAGTTAAATTATCTTTCTGACAGTTCCATAACAGACCCAATACGGGTGAAATAGTTTCCTGTTTCAGGTTATCTCCATTATGTAACCAACCTCGAAGATTAAACTTTCCTTCATTCATTATTTCTCGAGATTTTTCGATGAACTGAATCATCTCGGATTCTTTGTCAAAACTGGCAACAACGTTATCTACGTAGAAGCTACGCAAGAGTTTAGCTATTATCTCCGTATCATATGAAGAATTTTTCATGTACTTTTGTAGATGGAATTCTATAACAGCTGCCAAAAGGAAAGGACTACTCTTAACCCCAAATACTACCCTAGTATGACGAAATATTTTCGTTTTCCTTTCTTCCACATCATTCCACCAGAAAAACCGAAGCCAGTCTCTATCTTGAGGCCTTACACTGATCTGTAAGAAAGCCTTTTCAATGTCTGCTATAGCAGCAAACTTGCCTTCCCGAAATCTCAACAAAAGAGATGGAATTAGTTCTATCAAATTTGGTCCACACTCCAAACACTGATTTAGAGAAGGAGACGATTGTTTCCTCGCAGACGCATCAAACACCGGTCGAATTGGTGTTGAGCTATTTTCTTTGATCACCGGTCTATGCGGTAAATAATGTCCATAGTCAACCGCATATTTTTCTTTAACTTCTTCGATCACTCCTAAGTTACACCAGTCATTAAAAACTGCATTGTATGAAGAAAATAAATTTTGAGATAAAAGTTTCTGGGTGGTAGATTGTAGACGTTTCAACGCTAAATCCTTGTGGGTGGAGAGTGGTACATGATTCTCCGCCCACGGAAGTGCGACTTCATAACGCCCTTCTTCGTTTAGAGATACAGAATTTTCGAATTGCAATTTTGCTTGCAAATCCCTTTCCTCTCTAGCCTTTTTTGTAACTGGATCTGTTATTCCGATAACATCAAGCCTCCACAGTTCTGACAACGTGGCCATCAGAAATATGTAAAGATAACGAAAGCGTGGAAAAGGAATTTTCTATTTCATAATTGTCAGTGTTCGCTTTCCCCATGACTGTCCACCCAAGTCTTGTACTTACAGCAACTAATCTTCCCCAAGGAAGAACTTCGATTTTACCTGTAAATAAATTTGCAGCAACATCTGCCCCTAACAACAAATTAATCTCTTGGGGGTTCTCCTGGAATAATCTGCAATTTCCATTTTTCAAAAACATCACTGACGTAAATTCCTCTTCTTCTAAGTTCCCCAATCCAGTGTATATTTTTGATTTTAGGGACCGAAGAACATATTTTTCTTTCATCCAATACATTGATTTCGCAATTATACCGTTTATCTACGCTACCCAATTTTATTCTATAACGTTTAT